TCCTAATATTCATTGGAAGGACTGATGCTGAAGCTGAAACTCCAATATTTTGGCCACCTGATGTGAAGAACTGACTCATTAGAAAAGACCCTGATGCTGGGAAAGATTGAAGGCGGGAGAAGGGGACGACAGAGGATGAGATGGTTGGATGGCATCACCAACTTGATGGACATGAATTTGAGTAAGCTCCAGCAGTTGGTGATGGACAGGGAGGCCTGGCTTGCTGCAGTCCATGGGGTCAAAAAGTCAGACATGACTGAGCGACTGAACTGAACTGGTGAATATTCCTTTTGTCTAAGAGTTGGAGGAGGGCAGAGTTGAGTGGGCAGCAGTGGAAGGAAGGTGCAGTGAGGAGTGGGTGGCCTGGGGCTAGTGGTGGCAGGGCTACAAAGAATAGGCTCTACAGAAGAGCCCTCTCCTCCTCTATGTCCCACTGGATTGGAATGTGTGTTGTCATAATACCTATTCTCTGTGGTTGGACTCTGTTGAACTCACCTCCTCTAGGAGGCTGTGAATTATGTGTTCTACAGCTGGAGAGTCCCAGCTTCTAACAAAGCCTGGCTCACAGACACTGAATACACATTTCATGATGAATCCCTACCTGATCTAGCCTGGTCAGCCTGGTCTGCCATCCCAGAAGAGAAGACAGGAACTCAGGCCAGAGTTAAAGCAGAAAGTGTTCACCTACCTGGTCTATCCCACTCATCCTCTCTCTCGAAGCCACAGGTGTGGTGGTGCTGGTGCTGGCAGGGTGGGACTCAATGGGGGAAGTGAGGGTAACATGTCAGAAACATGGCCAAGGTTCATAGCCCTGAATGTCTTTATTTAATCATCTAATATCCTGTGCCCAGAGAGGCTGGGTTCTGGCACTCCTCAGCCTCAGGTTGTGGGGCAGCAGAATGGGCTGGGGGTCACAGGTGAGCCGAGCAGCCTGAGGCTGGGGAGAGGTGCCCAGACCCAGGGAGCAGAGCTGGTGATGCTCTGGGAACACAGCATCCAGGCCTTCCTCTGTCTTAAGAGGGCTAAAGGGGTGACGCACTTGGGGCATGTGGGCAGGACTGAAGGGCTGTGTCCACAGGTGCCCTCCTGACCTGCCAGCATCAGAGACCCTGGGTTGCCAGGGACTGGTTTCCTTCTCACCAACTAGTTCTCCAGAAGACACATCAAATATTTTCAAAGGGCAGATACACAAGAGTTTCAGCATCTTTAAAAGGCTGAAGTGCCTGCTACAGTCCTGGCCCACACTTCTACTTTCCAGAAGTGTGCCCTTGGAGCTTTCTGAGTCTTGGCCACCTCATCCAAAGAACAGGAATGGTTTCTGCTTTTCCTTTGGGCTGTGCTTAGTCACTCGGTTGTGTTTGACTCTTCGCGACCCCATGGACTGTAGCCCCCCAGGCTCTTCTGTCCATGGGATTCTCCAGGCAAGAATACCGGTGTAGGTTGCCATGCCCTCCCCAGGGGATCTTCCCAAACCAGGTATTGAACCCAGGTCTCCCACATTGCAGGCAGATTCTTTACCAGCTGAGCTACCAGGGAAGCCAGCTTTTTGTTTATTACAGGGCTCCTGAGAGGGATGTGTGGGAGCACTCTGTAAACTGTAAAGTGCTATGCAATGCGAGCTGTTCTTTAAGTTATTTATTCAAGGCAGCTGCAAAGGGCCCTCCCCACCCCACATCAGTGCATTCCTCCTACCAGGACCTGCCTGCAGGGAAGGGCTCCTCAGTCCCTTGAGTCAGCTGCGTACTGGAGAGCTTAGCGCTCTTGGTCCACTTCTGCATCTCTGGCCCCATCTAACGCACAGATCAGGGCCGCGGAGGGCTGGCAGAAGGGTACGGAGGCCCCTTATTTCGTTCGCTGGTAGAACTGGAAGACCGCCTTCTCTTGCTCATAGGTCTCGATGGAGCCGGGTCGAAGGCGCCGGATCTCAGCGATGGCATCTCCGGCAGCCAGGCCCCGCTCCTTCACCAGGTAACAGGCTAGCATGGTGCCAGTGCGGCCAAAGCCCAGGGCACAGTGCACGGCCACCGCCTGCGAAGGGGGAGCTGGGTAGGGTGGAGCGCGACACCCTCCCAACACTCTCCCGCCCCTCGTTTGTGAAATACAGCCAAGTTTTAAAGATGTAGGGCACTGAAGAGTGAAAATATCTGGTCAAGAATTTATTTTAGATTGCTTATATGTTGAAAGAATATTTGGGACTTACTGGGTTAAATTATACTATCAAGACGAATTTCTCCTGCTGCTTGTTTACCTTTTTAAAAGAGGCTCCATTACATTTGGACAGAACCTTGCTCTGGAGTCTGCTCAACAGCCCTTGACTTCAACCCCCATCTTTCCCTCTCTTTCCAGAGAAAGTCTGTCCATCCTTTCTCCTTCTCAACTCACGTTAGGTGGTTCTTTGTTGCCTCTCCTCAAACCCAATTGTCCCGCTGGGCCCTCTTTTTACTCCTCCCTCGTACGGCTTTGGCTTTCTGGACTGGTGTACTGGTTACAATGGTCTTCTGGCCCCACCGTCTTCCTCCAATCTTTCCCCTGGAACCCAGTTAAATTATTCCTGCCCTGACGTCCGCAGCCCCGCGTGTCCCCGCTGACTCCTCCCAAGCCCCTCCCTCCCCGCGCTGGCCCCGCCCTCTGACCTCTCCCCTGGCGTTGGCCTCGTCGACGATCTTCACGAAGCGGTCGATCTGCTCCGGGCCCGGCGGGCAGAAGTCTGGGATGCGCAGCCGGTGCAGGGTGAGGCCGGGACAGCTGTCGCTGTGCGGGGGCCCGCGCTCCGTCAGGGACACCAGATGCCGTACACCTTGGTCCAGCAGGAACTGGTAGTGGGCGGGTAGCCGGGGCAGCGCCAGCCCCGCCAGCCGGCTGGGCAGCACCCACGAGAAGTTGGGGGGCTGCACGCCCATGGCTGGAAGAGGGCACAGGACAGCAAGTCACCGGGGGCGAGGCCGGTCGGTCCCGCTCCGCCCACCCGCCTTCAGGCCGCGTAACCCTCCACCTACCAGGCAGTGGCGCCTCCTGGGACCACGTGGTCTCTGGGACAGCTCCCGGGCGACGTCCTGCGCCGCCGCGGGGGATTGGCCAAGCCGCCTGAGGGGCGGGGCTAGAATGCCGAACTCCTGGCTCTGAGTGACCGTTCCGGCCCCAAGCAGGACGCTCGTTGATTGGTTGGATTGTCAATAACGGGCGGGATTACTGCAGCGGTGCGCACGGAGATTGGTGGGCTGCAGAAACAGCTAAGAAGGAAAACCTAGAAGGAATTCAGAATTGTTTTCTGTGGATGAAGCAACCCCGGGTCGAGCTCTGCTGCTCCCTGGCGGTCGGTGGGAGTTATTGCGCCACTGGCCACCTGCCCCTACTGCCGAAGAGCCTGGTCCTGTCCTAACTTTCGTCGCAGTGGATGCCCAAGAGTTTGAGAGATGGTGAATCTACATCATCCTTAAGGGAGGAATCTCCTGTACAGTGACTCTACAAGTCATTATCAGTGACTTTTAGAACTTGTCAAGTAAGGGAGAATCACTGTTGTACAGGGGACTGTTGTCGTTTTTCCGCTGCTGGAATTATTAAAAACAAACACACAACCGTGTCGCTGCCATCTGGTCCCCTGAAATCTTACCCGGGGTGGTAATTATATAATAACAACAACAACAAAGACAACAACTTAAAAGGATTAACAAATTGAACATTTACGATGTGCCAAGTATTATCCTAAGTACGTTACATGTATTAACTGATGTAATTGCCACAATAATCTTATGAGGTAGGTAATATAATTAACTCTGTTTTACAGGTGAGAACACTAAAGCTCTGGAGAGGTTCAGGAACTTGACCAAGAGATAACTGATGGCAGGGGATTTGAAGCCTAGCACTCTGGCTCCAGAATCTTTAACGAAACAGTATTGTATTCTTAAGTCAAACAGAAGGTTACTGCCTCTTTACATAACCATCCTCATGCCCCTCAGCTGGGTTAAACAGTTGCAGGATTTCTGTTTTAATTAATTAATTAATTTTAAACAGTTGCAAGATTCCTTAATTTCTCTTCACAATTCCTAAGTCCCAGGTTCTGTGAGTCACCCTTCCCTGGAGAGGCTAGAGTTTCTGTGTGTCATTCATAGAAGGTGGGGAAGTAGATTTGAACACAGTGTCTTAAACTGTGATCTGAATGTTTCATATCCTCATTTGAACAATGTGCTTCTTGTAATCAGACTAATTGTAATTATGAAAATTGTTAACCGTTATTGAATTTGCCTATGTACCAGGCCCTGTGCCAGGTGCTTTCTGGAAGAGCCGCACGGGGAAGGTATTTTTATATCCCTTCTGCACATGAGGCTTAAGGAGGTTGGTTAATTAGCTAAGCACACACAGCTAGTAAGTAGCTGGGCTGGTTGAGCCAAGGTCTGTCTCATTCCAAGCCCAGGGTGCCATGAAGACATGCGCCCCTCCCTGTCCCTATCAACCCCTGACCACACACTTGGTTCCAGCAAAATGAAAAGGAATTTTTCTTCCTCCAAAGATCAAAGCCTCCTCTGACCCTGTGGAAAGTGCACTTCACCATTTATCCTGGCAACTGAAGCATTGCCTCCACCTACTCTCCTCAGGTTCCAGGAGCTTCCAGATCTACCCTTTCCCTTTCTGAACAATCACAGTCCTTCCTGTCTGCACTCCCATTTCCTGCACAACTCGCCAAGACTCTTTCTTGCCCATCCCAGTGTGTTTTCTCAACCACCAGTTACCCCTTCCCCCCTCCCAGCAACTTCAGTCAACCCCTAGCTCAGCATTTCTGATTGCACTCCCTCAGTGATAAGAGGCAGTTGCTCCTTTCAGACTGAACTTTTCTTAGTTCCTTTTCCTTGCTGTCCTTTCTTCGCTCCCTCACTCATTAGGGAAAAAATTTCCACATCTCTGCCCACCTCCTTATGCCCATTCCTTGCCTCCTTGAGATCCAGTGCAAAGCCCATCTTTTCCAGAAAGAAGACATTTCTAGGGGAGACAGATTCCTATGGGGTCTCTGCAGGGGTCAAAGAGCATCCATCAACCCATTTTGGGCTTCCTTTGTAGGAATTCCTCCTCCATCTCTACTGCTCTGCCTCTGGCTTTTAACAGACCCTGCGTGAAAGAGGTCTCTGCCTTGGTCTATGTCCCATTGTCAAGAATACTATTTAATTTTCTGTCTTGGGCCCGGGGCCTCACACTGAAAGAAAAACTCCTTTATGGTGGTTTCCTGGCTAGGATTCCTGCAACTAAAACAATGTCAGTTTCCCACAAATAGGCCCCAGCCCCAGGCAACACTGAGCTTCTTTTCTTTACTCTTCTGTAAAGTGTTACCTGACCTTCAGGAAATTTAATCTCTATCTCCATCTCATTTTATATAAATATGTACTCCTGGTAGAGCAGTTAGTTTATTGAATTGGGGTTACCTGTTTGTGTCATTCCATCTTTGAATTTCATACATCTAATATAGAGCCTGATACACGGTGCTCAAAAATGTTAAATGAATGAAAAAAATAAGTAGAGTGTGTATGCAAGACTGTGAAGTACATTTCTGGGAGTGTAGGCAAGTCTCCAGGACTATGTGACAATGGACGTTTGTGTCTTTTTTTTTTTCACCAGCAAAATGAGTTTATTCAGGAATAGTAAAGAGTTGCAATTTGAGACAAGCAGACTGTGGCAAGGGCTTCCCCAGTGCCTCAGCATTAAAGAATCTGTCTGCAGTGCAGGAGATGCGAGTTCGATCCCTGGGTTGGGATGATTCCCTGGAGAAGAAAATGGCAACCTACTCCTGTATTCTTGCCTGGGAAGTTCCATGGACAGAGGAGCCTGGTGGGCTGTAGTCCATGGGGTCACAAAGGGTCGAACACGACTTAGCGAATAAACAACAACAACAAAATTCTGCAAACCATAGGCAAGTCCAGGGAACAGAGGAGAAGGGCTTGCTTTTATAGAGGAAAGGAGAAAAATGAGGAGGGCAGTGATGGTTCTTCATCGGCTGCAACTGGTAGACAACTTGTTGATGGGCCGGAAGGAAATTGTTTTCTTCCTGCTGGGGTGTTTGTGAGCCTTTTTAATTGCATGAGTTTGAGGACTATTTAGGTGCTGTTTGGCACCTTCTTGAAATATGCTTTTTATATATCTGTGCTTTTAAGAAGAGAATGACTATGTCAATATGATCCTGTCTAAGTCTAATTACTGCTTTGTAAAAAGGGATGAATAAGTCTTGCTCTTTGCAGAGCTCTGCTCTTGTGTGCATGTGTTTGATCACGTGTATATGTGAGTGTGTTGAGGGGGACATTTTCTTGGAGAACAATCTGTTGACACTGATGGTAGGCTGAATAATAAGCTTACTTTCCCAAGGACTATTTAGGTGCTGTTTGGCACCTTCTTGAAATATGCTTTTTATATATCTGTGCTTTTAAGAAGAGAATGACTATGTCAATATGATCCTGTCTAAGTCTAATTACTGCTTTGTAAAAAGGGATGAATATGTCTTGCTCTTTGCAGAGCTCTGCTCTTGTGTGCATGTGTTTGATCACGTGTATATGTGAGTGTGTTGAGGGGGACATTTTCTTGGAGAACAATCTGTTGACACTGATGGTAGGCTGAATAATAAGCTTACTTTCCCTGACTTCAAGGGATTTACAACATACTGGGGGGAGATTTAATAATTGTTCTCATAACATATAATAAAGTATTGAATTACTCATCAAAGACAATCAGATCATATATATTGAAAAGTTAATTGTGCAGTAAAAATAACAAGCACAGAAGAAGTCAGTAGGGGAAAGGTAAGCTTGGGTTGGAAGCACCAGCACAGTCTTAGGAGGACAGGGTCTTCCTTCCGTTTTGTTCACTGTTGTGAAATGCTGGAAATAACATTCTTTGAAAGTCCAATATAATGGTTTTAGGGCTCTCTACCTCCCACTTCCCCAGCTGATAAGAATGTTTTGACCTTGTCCTCTTTGATGGTGAAGGCTCAGTTCCCTGAGGGCTTGATACCAGTGGCAATTGAAGCTGAAGCCAGAGTCAGAGAATTCCTTCCTCCAAGTTGGTCCCTGTGTCTTAACAAGGCAGAGGATTGCTTGGATTTGTGTTCCTGTGGCCCTTGGACTACAGCCAGAGCTCCCAGTGTCTTAAATGTTCTGATCTCCTTTTGTCTTAACACAGTTCAGACGTGGGACCCTATGATGTGGAAACTGAATTTAAGAAGGGATGATGTGGTAGCCAGCCTTAAAGATGCTGCCCCCACAGGGAACCATCTCCTCTCTTGTGTAAGCCTTTCCCACATTGTTAGGGCTGGTTTGTGTCATCAATAGGATTTTGTGGAAATGATGGTATGTGACTTCTTGAATGGAAGAGAGAATGCAAACTTAAGTGGAAGTTTGCAGTGACTGAAAATCGCTCAGTCGTGACTGACTCTTTGTGACCCTATGGACTGTAGCCCACCAGTCTCTTCTGTCCATGGAATTCTCTAGGCAAGAATACTATAGTGGGTAGCCATTCCTTTCTTGAGTGTATCTTCCCCACCCAGGGATGGAACCCGCATCTCCTGCATTGCAGGCAGATCCTTACGGTCAGAGCCACCAGGAAGCCCTTTATGACTTTACCTACTTATGTGACTTCTTAGGTAAAGTCATAAAAGACGGTATGGTTTTTGACTTGCTCTTTTGTGGGAGAAGCCAGCTGCTGTGTTGGGAAGAGTCTCATGAGAGATCCGTGCGGGAGGCTTCATATTAACCTCATGGAAGGGGACTGGCTATTTTGGAAGTGGATCTTCTGGCTCCATCAAGACTTTAGACTACTTGCCCAACATCTTGACAATAGCCTCATGGATCCCTGAGCCAGAATCACCCAGCTAAGCCTCCCTTGAATTTCTCATGCATAGAAACTCTTGAGATAGTAAATACTTAATGTTTTAAGCCATCAAATTTTGGGATAATTTCTCTTGCAGCAATAGGAAACCAGTACAGATGAGAATATTCAAATAAATGGAAAGAAGAGAAATAATTTTTCTTTTCTACCATGCATAATAGCATGTGGGATCTTAGTTCCTAGACCAGGAATCTAACCCATGCCCTCTCCACCACCCCCTCCCCCAGCAGTAGAAGCACAGAATTTTAACCACTGGATCATCAAGGAAGTCCTGAGAAATAATTGCTAATAAACTTAAGAAGTGAAATAAAATCAAGTTTATTTTTCAAAGAAGAAATTATACTCTAAGAAGCTGCGGCCTAAGTGTGTGTGTGTGTGTGTGTGTGTGTGTGTGTGTGTTTGGGGAATGGATTGTTGTGTTAGGTCCATGCAAATTTTCTACATTTGGAGAACTGTGCTGTATGCAGGAACCAAATAGAATAGTTTGGGTGTGAGTTTTGTATGTATGGTATTGGAGGTATGTGGGTTTTATGTGGTGTTCATATAGTTATGGATGATATACAAATTATTTAATAACTGGCCATGGCACAGGAAGCAAGCAATTGGAATGAACTCTCTATCAACCATCACCGTTGCCTATGAATGAATGGTGATGCTATTCTGCTGTCTATGGGGTGCACATCCGTATTGAGTGTACAGGCTCAGATGTAATCTGGGGTGTGGCCAGATTACCTTGGACATTTTAATATAGGTCTTTCCACAAGATGGCACTGATAGCTTTTCCGTGTTTCTCTCTCTTTCTTTCCCACTCCTTCTCCCTCTCTCTTTTTTGTATTTTGATTTGTGTACTGTTACAGAACATACCGTGACGTCTCACAACTTACTAGTTGATTTCATATACTTTCGGACAATTCTATCACCTTCATGGCCCTTAAAATTCTGTTTTTCCTTTAGACCATTCCATGGAGCACACTTGAGACTATGTTGGGATATTAGGGGGAGGCCTTATACTGGAAGCTACGATTAGGCGGGTTAGAGATAGGGAATTGGGGACCGGGCTTTAGTTTTGACTGTTCAGTACAGTCAAGTGAGAGTGGAACAGATGAGGGAGCGCTCAGTAAGAGACATCTTTGAGATGAGACTCGTTTCGGTGAATGATCTTACTTCTAGGATTCATGCTGTATAAACGGCTCTCCCTTGGATCCAGAGGGAAGAAATTACTGAAAATCTTGGCATTGCACTTTTCACAGCATAAGTGTAACAATGAGAAAGAACCTCAGGGGTCTTCTGGTTTAACCTCACTCTTTCCAGGTGAGGAAACTCAGCTCATTGAGTCCCTCAGTTGGTCCAGACTCAATCCCCTATAACTAAGAAGTAGAAACTAACCCAATAAAAACTGGGCAGGGAACTTGGACCCTTCTTAAAAGGCTATACAGGGAAGGCCAATACTACCTGAAAAGGGGCTCTACATCAGTAATCATCAGAGAAGGGCAAACTATAACCACAGTAATATGCCCACTGGAATGGCTAAAATTAAAATGACTGATAATGCCCAATATTGGCAAAGATAAGGATTGTTGACACTCTCATACCCTGGTGGTAGGAGTGTAAAATTGTACAACTATTTTGGAAAACTTTTTGACAGTTGCTTATAAAATTAAATATACACCTCCCTATGATCCAGTAATTCTGTTCCTAAGAATTACTCAAGAGAACAAAATCATTTGTCTACTAAAACACTTGTAGAAGAATATTCTTAGAAGCTTTATTCATAATGACAAAAAAATGTCAGGAAAACCAATATTCATCAACAGGAAGCATCCATAAACAAACTGTGATCTATATCCATAAAATAGAATATTATTTATCAGTAAAAGGAAATAACTACTGATAAAAGTAACAAGTAACAAGATAAAAGTAACACTGGATGAATCTCAAAAGCATTAAGCTGAGCAAAGAAGTCAGACACAATAAGAACGTAAGTATGATCTTCTGTGTGTGAAGTTCAAGGCCTGGCAAAGTAAATCTATGGTGATAGAAATCAGAATAATGGTTGCCTTTGTGTGGGAAGGACAATAAACTGGAAAGGGAATGAGAAAATTTTCAGCAGTGATGGAATCATCTTTTTTTTTAAAATGAAATACAGTTGATTTATAATATTTCAGGTATACAGCAAATGATGCAGATATATATATATGTGAAATATATATATTTTCAGTTATATATATATATATATTTATATATATGGCCTTCCCCGGTGGCTCAGACAGCAAAGAATCTGCCCACAATGTGGGAAACCTGGGTTTGTTCCCTGGGTCAGGAAGATACCATGGAGAAGGAAAGGGCAACCTACTCCAGTATCCTTGCCTGGAAAATCCCATGGGCAGAGAAGCCTGGTGAGCTACAGCCCATGGGGTCGCAAAGAGTCATATGACTGACTAACATGTGAATGTTAGACTAACACACACAGGTGAATATAGATATATACATATGAAATCCTCATACTATCAAACATCCCTGGGTCACTAAACGGTGTGACCTGGCCCAAATTACTTTAAATTTCTACGTCTCCATTTCAGATGTCTATAATGCTATAGATCATTAAGGATTATTGATAGGGTCAAATAAGGTAGGAATATGTAAATACCTGGCAAAATGCTGGCACACAATTGGTGTTCCAGATGGAAGTCGCTGCTGCCATCACCATCATCATAACATGATTCAGAGACCGACGGGAATGTCTCTAATGTCTTTAATGTGAAGTGTGGTCGTAGGCTGCTGTGGTTAGTGGAATTCTAAGATGGCTCCAAATGACCTATACACTTCGGTGAGGGGCTGTCACGCCCATGATTACATCACAAAGCATGGCTAAAGGGGGCCGCTCAGCAAGGTGGCTCTGGGAGCCGACTCCCAGTTGACAGCTACTAAGAAAGCAGAGGCTTCCATCCTACAACTTCAAGGAAGTGAATTCTGCCAAATGGATGAGCTTAGAGAAGGACCCGGGCCTCCATTGTGAGGTGCAGCCTGGCTGTCTTCTTCATTTCAGCCTGATGAGACCGTGAGCAGAGGATCCGGCTAACCTGTAGTTGGACTTCTGACCTGAGAACTGTGAGTTAACAAGTGGGTATTTTTTTTAGCCTCTAAGCTTGCGGCAATTGATCACACAGTAATAGAAATCTAATACAGATGCCTTATTTACTTGTTTTATTTTTTTATTTTTAATATGCTGGTTGAAATACTAGACTTTTGAGATTTCTAAAATGTGGTCTTATTTCTTGTCTCTTTTTCCCCTTTAAGTCTCCCAGTCTTTAAAACTCTAGATCACATGGGTCCATTTTCCAGGGCAGATGTGACAAATACAATGAATCAGTGGAGCACAGGAATTATCATTGTCTCATTCCCACGAGGCACCTCCCCGCCTTCCCGGCTCATCCTCTGACCGCCTTTAGACCAGTGCTTCTCAAGGTGTTATGCACAGCTGAGCAGTATCACATGACCTGGGAGTGTGTGGGAAATGCAGGATCTCAGGCCCCCTCCCAGACCTGTGGGACCCCAGCTGGCTTATACGCACATCTCGGCCCAAGAAGGAGGCCCTGTTGAGAGACCTTTCATCCTGCAGCCCTGTGTTCCCTTCTGTGGGACAGTTACCAGTAGCACCTAAAACAGCCTGGTCATAAGAGGTGGTTCCTGACATCTCCTGGTGTCTTTGGATGAGCGGGGCGGTGGGCAGAGGAGCCCACAATTAGTACAGAGAGAAAGGCCTCATAGAGACCAAACTGGCCTGGGTAAATACCTGAGGTCAATTCCAAACACTTAGTGTCCCGGTTGGAACAATCTATTGCTTTCTCCACTGGTTAGGGAGCTATCCAAGAAGAATATGCTTAGATGTACACTGCGAATTTCCTGTTTTTGTGCCAAGGAAGGGCTTGGCTCCTTGATTTCCTTTCTGGAGAAATTCTTGAAACATCACTTTCTACTTCTCTGCCTTTAAAGTACGTTCCAAGCAGGGCTGAACTTGCCTGATTTATCATCCTTCAGTTTAAGTGTCCCAACCTTCTTGCCATTTGGGGAAGAGGAGAAGGAACCGTTGGACCACACCTCCTCAACATCCTCCCATCCCTCCAGTGGAACTTCCTCCCATCCACATCCCATCCTTCTGGAATCCCCTTAGGAACCATTACCCCCATGGCCTCCACTATTTCTGCCTCTGCACATTTTCCCTCTATGCAGCTGGGGTGCTTTTTTGCAGAACACAGCCCTGACATTCCCAGCTCTTCAGTAACTCCTGTTGCCTTCAAGAAAAAAAAAATCCCGATGTTTGTAGACTGGCATAAAAATCCCTCTGGAATGAGGCCTTTTGCTTCTCACTTCAGCCTCATCTTTCCTCATGTCTTGGCATCACTCTGAGTCTCCAACACATGGTGCAGAGCAGAGCCCTCCGGTACCTCTGCACATGCCGTCCCCTTTACCTGACCTGTTCTTACCTTTACCCTGCGTCAACTCCTCTCCTCCCTCAAGATTCAGTTTGGACCACACCACTCTCTCTAGGAAGCCTTCCCTTACAATTATGTTTTGTATCCTTCTTTTTTAGCATCTCTATGAAAACATTTATTACATCACATATCAAAAATATTTGAAAGCATCTATTGCTTTATAACATAAACGTGTGCTGTGCTGTGCTAGTTGCTTCAGTCGTGTCCGACTCTGCGACCCCATGGACCATAGCCCTCCAGGCTCCTCTGTCCATGGGATTCACCAGGCAAGAATACTGGAGTGGGTTGCCATGCCTTCTTCCAGAGTATCTTCCCGACCCGGGGATCAAACCCATGTGTCTTAGGTCTCCTGCATTGGCCGGCGGATTCTTTACCACAGGGCCGCCTGGGAAGCCCTTATTATAGAAATACCATATCTTTATTTTAAAAGTCCTAACATATAGGGACTTCCCTGGTGGTCCAGTGGTTAAGACTCTGTGCTTCCAGTGAAGGGGCTGCTGGTTCAATCCCTGGCTGGGGAACAAAGATCCCACATACCTTGTGGTGCAGCCAAGAAAATATATAAAATAAAAAGTTGAATACTAAAAAAAACATTAGCATATATACACACCAAAAGGAAAAAAACCCATTACTTATTACCTATTTATATTAGTGTTCAAAGAGAAGACCCACTATGTTTTCCAAGTATGAAGGGAAGTGATACAAGAAATTAGAGGTTTATACACCTGTCAGAGGGGGTGTTCTAGCAAAGGTCCCCAGTGGTCCTAGCCTGTGACATCTCAGTGAGAAGCTCTCAGAGAACTTGCCTGGAAGCCATTCCCCTCTAAAGCTCAAGAGCTTCTGGAAAATTCCTGCCAGTTATCTCAGTCTGTGGCACTAATGTGGGGAGACTCAGGAGGTTCACCTGTTTGCTATTCTGAACTTCTCATCTGCTTTTGCATCTGTCTATCTCTGGGAAAGAATGGCCTCTCCTCTCTTTTGGAGAGATTGTTCCCAGCATCTCCTCTGTGGTAGAGCGGTCTTAATACTGAGGGGCACTGATGCTAAGTTTGCAACAGACAGTTCACCTCGAGATAACCGCATTTTGGCGCACCAGTGTTCATATGTATTTGTGTGCGCATGTGTGTATGTGTATATAAGTGAATAATACACGTATAAAATCTCTAACGTGCACTCTCTATCTTTGTATCTATATACGTCTCTCCCCTCTGGCTTCTTGAAGGTTTAATGAGCTTGTTTCTCTACTTTTTAGAGCAAGGATTCCCAGCACTGGTTTGATGACACCCTGGAGTGTCTTCATTTATCTCAGGGGGTGCCTTGAAATTCATAAAACAAGATCAATTTAAATTCATTTTCATTTAAAAAAGTAAACAGACATTATATAGTAATTACAGGTACAAGTGTGTGTTTTGAAATCAAACTAATAAATGCTCTCCTTAGAGAGAAATTAAGAGGATGGGAGTGGGATTGGAAGGGACTAGAAAGGTGGTTTAGTTAGAATCTTTCTAAAACATCACCTCTAATTACTTCCAGGTTTGTATTTCCCCCGAATTAATCCTGTCTCTCAAACTAGAAGTCAGGATGTGGGGGCTGAAAGCTTCCTGTATGCAGGTCTATATATTCTGTGTCTGCCACAGGTCCTGGCATATGGATAGCTCTTCAAGAAACAGATTTTAATCGACTGCATGTTGGACAGGACATAGTGTTGGTGGTTGAGGAGGGCGCACGGCTCGTGAGAGTTCCAGCTCTGTCTCTGTAGGATTGGAGGCCGAGAGGTATTTTGGGAGATAAGGGTCTGGGTACCAAGCCCATTCAAGTTCCAGGAGAGTGTAGATGCCCAGAAAGTCAAGGATAAAGAACCCAGGCTGGGATTCGTGGGCCTTATATGACTTGCCAGAGACTTCTGTAATGGCCTTTCTGTTAACAACTTCTGTGAATCATCAAAAAAGTAGATCAACCTACATCATGCGTGTATAAATGCAAGTGACTTGGTGCTGAAGGTACAATCTTAAGGTCATAGATGTAGGAAGGAATTTTGAGTTTGGCATGAGGCCATTATCTTTGAAGCAATAGTGCTGGTGGTGGGTTCAAATCCGATTCTGCCATTTAAAGCTATATAACCCTGAATAAATTGCTTTACATCTCAGTGCCCTCCTTTATGAAGTCTAGATGATCATAACACCTACCTCATAGGCTTGTGAGGATTAAATGAGTTAATCCATGTAAAGTGCTTTGAACAACATGGGGCACAGCGAGATCAATAAACGCTGACTCTCATGATCCTCATCGCAGTAGGTTCTATGTACTTATCAGGACTAATTGGTCCTAGGTCTTTCAATCAGGGACCAACAGGGATACCTTTTCTTCTCTGAATTTTAGTGAAAAACTAAATATACCTATGTCCCCAGATGAGAAAGACAGATCAAGTTTCATGTCTGATCTTAGCAAAAATTCAAATACTGGGTTTGAAATACCAATAATTCTGTTTAATTCTCTTCTTCTTATACAATTATCATATACATTATATGATTATTCTGATGTTCAGTTATTTAGGATCAGAATTTCATATTCATATGGAATTTATTTCTAAGATTGATTATAACCAAAACAGAAATAGGATTAATGAATTATTCATATGAAATTCATGATACTCTAAAGACCATGTTTGGCTAGAAATATAGTTGATTCATAAGAATGTGGAAAGATGGTGGGAAGAAAGGTTTTTTATTGGTTAGCTTTGTTTTATAGTATTTTGGATCTCTAAGGATATAGTAGTCTTATCCTTTTTGATCCTTTTGTTTCCAGAACTCTGTGCTTCTTCAATTCAATTAAGCAAATATATACTAGATATGCCCAGGTAAATGAAATATATTGGGCTATACACTTGAATAAAGATACAGAAAAACCCCACAAAACTTACATTTTACTTCTATAGACAATTATCATAGCCATGACCCCAGTGATTTATACCTGCAGTATCCACACCCTTATATATTCTTCTATTACATTGACATTGGCCTCGTCCACGTGATTTACTTTGGCGAATGAATATAAACAATTGTGATGGAAGCAGAGATTTGATTAAGTACTTGCACACTGAGGCTTGTCCTCCTAGAACCCTGAGATCACCATGCAATGAAGAAGCCTGGAATTAAATACTATATGATAGGAGAGGCTACTTGAATCCAGCCCCCAAGGCAACCCCCGTTAGCTGAATTCAGTTGCATCATTGAGCAAAGACATGACCTGCAGAAGAATAATCCAGTTAACTGATGGAATAATAATAATCATGAGGTTACTACATTTTGGATACATTTGCTACAGAGATGGAAAGCTGATATAAAAATTGATATCCAGAATTTGCACATTGCTATAATAAAAGCCTAAATTATGTAGCATTGGCTTTGGAACTGAGCGTCTGGTGGGAGGCTATGGTGACAGCAAGCAGAATGCTGGTGGAATCTGGAAGACCTGAGAGGACGCTGCTGCTGGCACCTAATAAAGGACTCCCATAGTACATAGTAGAGACCCAACTGACAATACTGTCACCACCAATTGGAGGATAAAAAGTGTACTTCATGCAGTTGTGGATTTGGCTTAAGATTTCCATTTGTAATGTTGA